TTCTAGTTCCTGTCAGTACTCGTGCTGCAGCATTCTGAATTAATTGGAGTGTCTTAATGGACTTATTGGGGCAACCTGATAATAAAGAGTTGCAGTAATCCAGCCTAGAAGTAACAAATGCATGGATTAGTTTTTCTGCATCTGTCTGTGATAGGATGTGTCTAATTTTTGTAATATTACGTAAATGAAAGAAGGCAGTCCTAGAGGTCTGCTTTATGTGGGAGTTAAATGACAAATTCTGATCAAAGATAACTCCAAGATTCCTGACAGTGGTGCTAGAGGCCAAGTTAATGCCATCTAGAGTAACTATATCTTTAGACAGTGAGTCTCTAAGGTTTTTGGGGCCAAGTACAAGAATTTGGTTTAACTTTAGAAAATTACAGCTCCAAATCAAGAATTTTATGTTTGTAATTTAGATAATTAGTAGGCTATAAGCTTTAGTATAGTAGGGCTGCCAGGCTTTCTTGGGTTTAAAGCTTGTAAGAAGACTTTAAAAAGCTTAGCATTTGGTTTACTTTTGTGAAGAAAAGTATATGTCAAGTAAATTGTTAAGGTAATTGTCTAATCTGACAGGCCAAGTGTTAGGGACAAGAAAACAACATTTGTCGAAAAAAGAAACTAGTAAGTCTGTATGATTGTTAAAAGTTATAAATAAATAAATACATAATACAGAATTGTATAAAATGTTCCCTACACAGGAAATAATCTGCTAAAAATTCATCAAATTCACTGGTTTTACACAAATTTATTGCAGTTACTGTGTTCACTATTTGGGTTCATCATACAGTTTTGAATATAAGATGAAGTATCCATAAAATATGCCACTTAGTCAGTTTACTGAATAATAGAAAAGGGGTCCCTTAAGGTAAAAGGTTAGGAACCACTGGGCTTTAAAATACAACCTACTGTAAACGACACCTATGTATTTAATATGTATGTTATATGAAATATGTGAATATTGTAAACTGCTTTGGAAACAGGATATTTTTTTTGGATTTGAATTTGACAGGGAGGGAAGTTACTGACATGATTGTTACAAAATAAAACAGGAAATAACTAACTGAATCAAATCAACTGCTTCTTTGACCATCAGACTTCACCAGTAGATCATGTCTATGCTATTCCTTGGTTGGTGGAGGTGGGAAGTTACTAAATAAGTGGAGTTGCTGGGTTAAACTTGTTGATACACTTTTTTCATTTCTTTTCTGTTTACACAGGCTGTTCAGCAGTCTTATTCTTTGCTGCCAAGAAAAATACATTACTCAGATGGATTGCGAATACACCACCTACAGTGTTACAAGTGGGAGTAAGTGCTGTGGGGAGTGCTTTGTTCAGGTTACATACAGACTGCCCTAACTTGTTGGTGGATTTTGTCAGGGCTGTGTACAGCACAAAAAGAATACCTGAAGACACAAGTCAGGGCTGAAAAAACCATTTCCGATGCCTCTGCATGTTTTTGAAGAAAGCATAATTAAAGCTGGAGGCAGCGACAAACGTGCCCTTGATGCACTGTCACAAATAGCACAACTTTGTTGGTCTTTAGACTGCATTAACCAAATTTAGCAGGAGAATGCGTTCATTTCTTGTATCATTGAATTTTGAATTTTTCCGATTAGTGGACGACCCGCTCTACCTCTGAGCCACAGCCGCCCACTTCTTTGTGTATTTACACACTGACTCAACATTCGTCTTTGTGACCTCCGATTGGTGTAATCAGGTGTTATTACTGGCAACGTGAATAACTTTTTTACTATACTTACGTTTATCCTTAGGGGACGGCTAGCAGAAGCTACACTGGGTCGGCCCGCACCGACCACTGGGAGCTGGATAACTATCAAGGTTAAAGATTTCTCTGTAGTGCAGTGCCATGCTTCTAATTCACTGACCCTCGCCTCCAAAAGAGTAAATAAAGTACACTTAATACAGGTACCATTATCGCTAAAAGAGGCAAAGGAATAGCTAAACCTCTGACACACTATTTAACCAAAACATGGGGACAAAGTGTATCTCGTGCCCACTAATTAACCAAAACGTGGGAACGAATTGTATCCTGTGTATTATAATAAACCAAAACGTGGGAACAAATTGTAACGAATATGCACTAATTAACCAAAACATGCAAACAAATTATATCTTGTGCGCAATAATTAAAGGGCTTAGAAAAACATATTACAGACTAATGAAAATATACCTATGAATAATATATTACATTTCTGTCAATATTGTCTAATATAATATAAATTACACACTAGGATCTTTAACAAAAACATGGGAGCTAATTGTATCTCATGTGTATGCAATAGCATTTTGAGCAATAAAAAGTGATTCATTTTTTTTTTTCTTTATGACCACAGCTTGACTCCGTAGCTTCCTCAAGGTTATGATGAAAGCAATTCTAAAGGGATTGCCTCATGATTCTAAAACCCACGATTTAAGACTCAGCTAATCCTGTCAACTCTCCCATTCTTTGCTTGTGGGATGTTGTCTATTTTTAGTGGTCGCCTTGTGGTGAATAATACCAAATCTACATGTCCCAGCTTGCAGTGTTACTCAGATTGAAGACAATATCAAGGTTGTTCCCTGTTTCTGTCTTTCACTCTCTCTCCCCACTCACTCATTCAAGTCTCCTCAAGTTTGTAATTGCATAAGCCAAGGGATCACCCTTATGTCCATGGTACTACCAGTTGTATGAGAGTGATGGGATTCTCAAGGAAATCTGACAAGAAATCTGATGAAATAAAAACTCAAACTCATGTTGCAACAGGTCTTGGGATGCACTTATTTTTTTGCCTTGTTTCTTACAACCTGACTGTCTAAGTAAAGCACAAGTTCATGTACCCTTTTGTCCTTATATAATATATAATGATCATCATATAGTTTACCAATCATTACTATATTTGCTTTTGCTTGTATGTGCTTTCATGCTTCTCTCAAACTTGAACAGAAATATTCATTATCAAGGGTGAATAAAATTGGCAACAGGGCAGAGAGAGAGAGAGAGAGAGAGAGAGAGAGAGAGAGAGAGAGAGAGAGAGAGAGAGAGAGAATAACTTAAATATAATTTAAACGGGTGAGTTATATATAAATCCACCCCCTGTGCAGTTGTTGTGAACGGGGAAATTATCTATAGAGACCGAAAGTGTTTTTTGTACCAGGCTGTAACATGTTTCTTTCTGCTGTATAGTTGGGCATTTTAATATGGGGCCTTATGGAGATTGACTCACTGTTAAAGCCAGCCTCAGGTGGTCGTTAGAGAAACTGCTGTTTTTATTACTTCCATGTTGGCAGTGTTGGGAACGTGACATTACTCATTACTCAGACTAATGGTAATGAGTAGGGATGAGCAAGTACACCATTATCTTTATCTGTGTCTGTACCTGTTCAACTAACTAAATTATCTGTATAAGTATCCCTCCTCAGAATGGGTTGGGCTTAAGCCTACATTAAGCCTGAAATTGATATGGGTTGATCAGCAGTTACTGTATTTATTAGAAAACTATTAATGGTCTCAGAACTGAGCTTCAGAGCAATGTGTTTGATCACAAGAGTACCATTTATAGAACCCTTTTATTATAAAAATTGCTATTTACAAGTATGGATATTGATTTTTTTCCTCATGCTCTTAAAAAGTACATTATCTGTACTGCATACTCATTTTAGTCAAGTCCTCTTGACTAACCCTACTAATCACAATTTTTTATTCACTCATCAGAAGAAGTAGGCTCCAGCGAGGGGTTTAAGGTATTTGCTCATCATTCCCCAATATCTCTATGTCAACATCTCTGTGGCGAGTGATTAGGCCAAAATCTAAATATACTATACTGCTACATTAAACATTTCAAACGGGAGTTGTCTGAAATGCAGTTGCCATATGCTGCGATTGGCTTGGCAGTGGTGCAATATTTCATTACTGCGGTTATTTTGGCTCTCCTGTGGAACCAGCTTCCATTTTGGGTCGGGAGGCAGACACCCTCACACCCCACATTTCAGAGTAGGCTTAAGACGTTCCTTATAGCTTATAGTTAGGGCTGGATCAGGTGAGTCCTGAACCATCCCTTATTTTTGCTGCTATAGGCCTAGACTGCCGAGGGACTTGACCATGATGCACTGAGCTCCTCTCTTCCTCTCTCTCTCTTTCTGCACTCATTCATGTCCCATTAATGCATGTTACTAACTTCACTTCTTCCCCGGAGTTCTTGTGCTTTCTCGTCTCGCAATTTCCCATGGATCATGGTTGCGCCTGCAGTTGACCTGTGGTGTGTCGCTGTTGTCCGACCAGATGAAAACAGTATGTAAGTAAGTAATTAAAGCTTTATTTATATAGCACCTTTTTAACACAGAGGTCCAAAGTGCTTTACAAACAACAAACATACATATGGGTATTACATATAACCCAGAGGAAGCATGTACAGGGAGAACAGAACTGGACCAAGAACCGACCCCTGAGTGACCAGGGGTCGAGGAAGACACATGATTATTAATGCAGACATTAAAGACTATATTAAACAAACAGGAATGAAACCAATTTAAAGCTGTACCAGAAATGCCAACCCAGTTCTGTAATCGATCCAGTAAAATGGCATGATCAATGGATCAGATCGAGAAGAATAAGGACGGAGCTTTCACCTTTGTCAGCATGCATAAGAATGTCATAAGACACTCTCAGTAATGCTGTCTCAGTGCTATGTTTTTGGTGAAACAATCTTTTCAAGGATTTTAGATAGAGAGGGAAGTTTGGAAATAGGTCTATTTCACTCCTGTTCCCCTGCAACATACCACGCCCCACTACCACAATACCACATACCACTTATGACGATTCTTTACTGACATACAGTGCCTGTTGGTACTGGTATGTCACTGGTGTGTGCCGAATGAAAACTTACATGTCACTGTAACTAAAGCCATACTGAAAGATTCTTGGAGGTAACAGTCACTGATGTGATGAGTGTTAGGTAAGGTACTTGCTCTGTATTTTCCCAAAAAGTGACAGCAGGTCTGTGTTATGTTTTCAAATCAATTTTATTTTCAGAGTCCAATAGCAAACTCAGTTGTCACTCAGCTCTGACAGACAGGGGTTTGATACAAGCCATATGTTAAAAAAAAAAGGCAATACCAAAAATTAGCTTAAATACATAATACAACAATGGGAGTGTAATGTAACAGCATTATGATTGGTCAAATACTGATCTAAAAGCCAATGAAGACCAATAAAAATAATACATTACAGTTAAAAAGTAATGTAGTCTCATGGCTACATTTAATACAGTCAAACTGCAGTAACTGAACAAAGAAAGGTATTTTCTTGTTAGGAGTGTGGCGATAGATTATTATATAGATATATATATATATTTATATAATATATTATTATTATAGTTTATTAAAGTGATGCTTAGAAGTAGAAGCAAAAAGCACTAACCATAAGTTATTTTTGTTCACATGCATTCAAAATTCTTAATGTTAGTCCATCTGCTCCGTCATTCTAAAATAATCCCTGAGTACACACAATATATGGGCACTTTTCACACAACAACACTGTGTGAAACTTGTATTTTTACAATTCACCTCTGCAGTTTTCTTACATTCTTGACATACTAACTTTAGGTTCTGCCATGGAAGTCTCCCAATGTTTCTGAATGGAGATTTGAATTGATGTTGAAAATAAGCTGCATCATTTCCGCAGAATTGCACTGTTGTTACCAGAACTAGTTATACAAAGTTTAAGTGAAAGCAAACAGTAGGCAAAAACTGTTATAAGAAATAGTTTAAAAAAAAACTTTAGAATCAAAAAGGGTTTATCTCAAAAGAAACATCTGTAATCTTGTTTTATTAACTGAGTATATTTCCAGCACTTCATTCAAAACCCCATTTAAGTTTTTGTCCAGTTTAGCATATAGGCTCAAACAAAGCTAATGCAAAGCTTCAAAGATGATGGATTTTTTTAAACATAGTAGAGGCTGTGACATATCACTTAACAAAACAATGCTCAAGTGCATATATGCATATATACTTCACATATCCAAACCAGTCACAAGTTAATGGAGCACCCTGAATAAAGAAATTGAGATGTTTACTCAGATCTCTCTAGATCTCTGCCATCCACTGAATATCTTTTGGAAGAATGGCATTCAGCCCTCCAGTAGCATCTATGTCAAGGAGACTTAGTGGAAATACATCTTACTAAGACACTTCCTGTAATTTGTCATTTGCCCTTCTGTATACACTGCATAGCTTCCAACCCTGAATACTCAGTTAAAGCTGCAGCAGACAATATTACTGAATTATCATTTTGATTCAATTAACTAATTTTAGGCATTTCATGTCACTAAGAATATTTAATTTGAAGGGGGAAAAAATGGAGTGCTTGCCCCTTTGTATTTAGATTTTGGAAACATGTACCCAGTCTGAATCAAACAACCAGGCAGGGTTAGCTAGGATGTAACAAGCCAATCACAGCAACCATGTCTTGGTGTGTTGCTCTCCAAATTAATGTCAAGAGCTATTGCAACTTGTGATAAATTTCCAGTACCTCCTTCACAGACAACAGCATATAGTTAAAAACAACCCAAAAGAAGGGACCTTGGAAGAGAAGAGAGAGAAAAAGAAAGTGCAAAATAAAAACATCAGAGCAGAGTGACGCGAGGCAGCAGAGAAAGATGAAGAAGGTTTTGTATTGCGTACGTTCATGTCGCCCACTGCAGCTTTAATTAAAGCATTAACAGGAAGTATTTTAAAGAGGTCATATTATTCTCATTTTCAGGTTCATAGTTGTATTTGGAGGGTCTTTACATTCTCCAATGTTAAATAAATACATTATTTTCCTCATGTCTGCCATTTCTGCAGCTCCTCTATTCACCCTCTGACACACTGTTTTCTTTAAGGTCCCCCCCCCCTTAGTCAGCTTCCGTATTCCTGAGCAGGCACCGCCCATTGCGTAGATTCACTAGGGACTGGACTGTCACCTAGCCTATAGGTGGTGCCTGTTACGATGTAATGTAATAAAGAAAGTAGAAAAATGAGTACAAATGAGGTGTGTCAGGCAGTGCAGGAGCAGTGTTTCCTGTGGGAGATAGTACTTCCCTTTGGCCTGCACTTTTCAGACCTCTTATATGCATAACAAAATCACAAAACAGGCTAAAGCCTTTTCAAAACATACAAAGTTTATACATGAGAGATGATAAATAACCCCGGTTATTGTTCAAAAAATATGCTTAATATACATTATTAAGATTGAATTCTCTATACTAGATATGCACCAAATGATGCTGTTTTCATCAGTTTGTAGCCCTTTTTCATCAATACTTTCAGATAATCTCCTTCCACTAATTCAAAAAGCTGCCCCACAAACACACTCTTTGATCTGTCTTGAGTGCACTCTAAACCATCCATGGCATCTGTCAGGAGCCTTCGTTTTGGGTAACCTTCATTCAAGCAGTACAGTTGTAGAGTGAACAACTCAAAGTTTGGAGTTTTCTCACCATGGCAGCTTAAAGTAATCCTCAGATAGACAAAATAGATGCCCGGTGCAGGAATCACAATGGCATGTGTCTCTTCGTCGTAATTTCTTTCACCAAAGTCGACATCCCATTCAAGGTACTGTCCATCACTCATTTTGGTCTTGTTGGTTGGACTTGGGGGCCCTGCAGGATAAAACCATACAGTAAATCAGCCACTAGTTAGCTAGTAAGCTAGTAGGTAGTAGTAATCTTAGCTGTTCTGCCTGAGACTGGGTGCTCAGAGCACCAGAGGGAGTGCTGGTATTTATATTGGTAGCACAGGAGCTTTAAACCACCGGGAGAAGGACTTTTTTAGGCCTGGGACAGCGGGAAATGCTGAGGGAGAGCAAAAACTAAAATCCTTCATCCGGTTCAAATCTTTTATTAATTCAATTCAATTCAATTCAATTTTATTTGTATAGCGCCAATTCATAACAGAAGTTATCTCAGGACACTTTTCAAATAGAGCAGGTCTAGACCGAACTCTTTAACATTCTTCTATTCTATTACTATTATTATTATTATTTATTTTATTTGAACAGAGACAGTGCACAATAAAACATTAACCCTGTATATTACAAGGAGAGATGCATTGCACCGGGTTTTAGCAAGTTGCTATTTTCTACCCGTAGTCTCTTAATCTTAAACTTAAGAGTTAAAAAGCACCAAGATCTGGTGGTAACAATGTGGCTTCAGACTGGATAAACAGTCAATGTATGACAGGTTCTGGCAGACAACCACAACACTGACGCATGCACAAAGGGGATATAATGCCATTAGTGAAGCGCAGCGTTACCTGAATAAAATGACAGATTTCTCTGAATTTAAAACATCTCGGATACTAGAAGTACACTAAAATTATAACATATACTCTAGTGTTTATGGGCATTTTAATTTGGAAATGATACATATTATAGCTTTAAGAAATGTGTTGTTGAAACACAAAACCCCTAATCAAAGCAAAAGAATTCTTACGAAGCACACTAAATCATTATGTGGGTCTGTGTGACTCATGCTGACACAAGGTCGGTTTTGCAACATTTGGGGCGTGATTAATTCTTTTTAAAGTGAGTTTAGGGATCTGTTCATATTGTTTTGAGGCTTCTTAAGAAATGCTGGCTGCACTTGATTTTTACTCTTTTCAAGATATTTGTATAATTTACATAAAATAAGTAAAATACATGTGAATAATAAGACATACAAATATAAAGTCACATAAAATATTTGTTTCAGTACTGCTTATTTATAGTAGTTGTAGTATTAGTAGTAAAACTCTTCATAGTATTGAAATCTTTAGAAAAAGACTCACTGAGATGAATGCGCACCGGAGTCTGATTATCTGGAGAGAGAGAAAGAGAGGAGAAAGGTGTTCAAATCAATGCAAACCTGATGTGCATTATGCAACAGTATGAACCAAAATTAGATACTGTATATGGAGCTTTACCAAAGGGAGACTGGAGAGCACTAAAGAATGACTTGTAAACTGAAATCCTCCCACTCCCCAAAGACAATCGAATGTATTACACATGAAGTTACTGACTTAACATACCTTCAGGACACAATCTCTCTTGTCTAGGGTGGGCTGCTCCTTGCTCAACCGCGCTCTGAGAATAGCAGAAGACATTTTTATACTTGTTTCATCACAAGCAATAAGTCAGATACCTTAAATTGCGACCATTATATCGATTATACAACCGCATGTGGAGAACCCAAATGTGAAAATCCTGTCTTTACAAGTGATACCAGCAGCAAAAGGGAAGTAAAATGTGGTAGTAACAGGCTGTATGGGAAAATTGTGTCAATCAGTGGTTAAATATAGTTGGTCAGCTATCTTTGTTTCCAATGAAATATATTCTGTATAAATAGACTGGACAGTTTGCTGTCTATAATGATGATATTTGGATTAAAGTAGCACTAGTAAAAATGTGGAAACAACCACCTATGTTAATGTAAATTCTATGTCATTTCTGTTCTATCCTATAAGTACTCATTCATTCAGCTTAATCTGTTGCAGCCCATGTCTAAATCAATGCATTTATCATTAGAGATGCAGTATGCTGTGCATTGTGCCTGCCCTTGAATCAACCCAACATCCCTCACTTCACGAGTTTAGTGAACTGATGGCAATGTCAGAGTGAAAAATTCCTATTCAGTAAGTCAAGTTTCTATGTATATCCAAATATTACATACAAGCTGTCACATGCTTACATCGACGGTTCAGACACAGCCAAATCTGTCTAAGGAAGGAAATAAGAAAAAAATTGTAGAATTTACCCCTTGTCCATGGGAGCCAGACTCCTCATGCTGCCTTAAACCGGCACTGGTGGTGTAAATCAGCATTGCCATACATGTGAGGAGCAGGAGCAGGGTGATGAGTCTGAGGCGCGTCTCCTGTTGCTTCATGTCCTGGCAGTGTTTGATGAGGATGAGCACAGACTCGTCCCGTCCTATATCTATCATTGAACCCCTGCAGGCAGCCTCAGCTGGCTGAGTGTGTCCCCTCAGTTTCTGTCCCATGCTGGCAGGTATGATCTCTGTTTGTGTCTCTCTGCTGGCTGGTCCGTAGAAAAGGTGTTTACTGTGTGCAGTGTCTGATATTTGTAGTTGAACACTGGGGCAGTAGCCAACCGCCTACACTCAAACTCTTCAGGCTGGAATTACCTCATCTATCCATTCATGTAGATGGGAAGGGAGAGGAGGAGGGAGGAGCACCAACCAGATTAAAGCCCATGGCTTTATCTCTCATGTACTATTTATAGATATAATTATTAGCATTTCAGTCATAGGGCTAAGCATCAGGGTTTTTTTCCCTTAAAAGAAATCACTGCAACATTATGATTTATTAGAACTTTCTGGGCACCTGATGAATGTAAGTTAAAGTAGTCCAAATCAAGCTAAAAACAATCCACCAGTCATTCTGAAGAGCGGAACATCTTTTGCCATTTATCCAGCTTCATTTGTGCTTTTTCTGCCAGCGCTTCTTCACATGTAGACAACAGCTGTGAGTCCACATTGAGCATGTGGTTGTAGTTAACACCCAGGCAAACTTCTCCATAAAATCACTCTCCTGCTCATGAATGCGTAATAACATTTCAGAAAGCTTTTTTGAGTGCAGCCAAGTAAAGTGGAACTTAATGGGTCTTCCTGTTGCTGTGTGGAGTCAGCCCAGTGGCTGACCTCATGGGGCACTGGGGCCAGTTGACTCTTAACCAGATGTCCAGTCTGCCTGTGATTAAAATGTAATAATAAAACAAACTGTGTCTAACCACTGCTGTGTCAAGAGGTTTTAATCATATCTGAGTCATTACAACTAGCCCTGAAAGCAGACATGACTACTACAAAACTGCCACTGAGGGATATTCAATTCAATTCAATTCAATTTTATTTGTATAGCGCCAATTCATAACAGAAGTTATCTCAGGACACTTTTCAAATAGAGCAGGTCTAGACCGAACTCTTTATAACATTATGCAGCCCTAACATATTTTTTGCACTGGGTATTTTTCACTTATATCTAGGGCTGTTATGATCTCAATACTAAATAGAAAATGAATCGAAATGAGCCTTGATGACACTGTTTTATTAATCGTTTCCGCTGCAGACGACCACTAGCCAACACTAACATATAAATTCTCTTTCATACCCTCTGCTATTTTCTCTGCTCACCCTGTGTTGGTGTTGTTGTCGTGTTGTTGTTGTGTTAGATTTATTGCTACTGTGAAACATGAATTGTCCTTGGGGACAAATAAAGGTCTTGAACTTGAACTTAAACTTTGAATTTTCATTTAATCATTGAAGTAGAACGCAGCTGCACTTTTTAACTTGAGAGCACGCCCGCTGCCAGAGTCCGAGATGTCGCAATTTACCCTTAGTCCCACCCCTTTTGGAACCTCTGTCAACTTCCTCCTTTCCCATACTTAGATTTGCTATACACTAGGCTCATCTGTGTTAAAAAGACAACCACATTTTGAAAATGGTTAATGGATAAAAGTGACAATCACATCTTAGTTAGCAAAATTGCTACATAGCTAGCATTTTCCTCCGTAGCAAAACGCAAGCAACTAGCTAACAAGTTAGCTAATGGTTTATGTGGATTAGCTAGCTAGTTAGATAAAGTTTTGCTAACATTAGCTAACTTAAGATGTGACTACCGTAAAACTTCAATTAATACCAGCTCAGGTGGTAAAGGACAGCTGCTTCCAATATAACATGCTTCTAGGAATCTTTTATATATCAGGGCTTGCTCAACTGCATTTTCCCATAGACCCCCATTTTAAAAGTTGTTGATTGGACACCTCAAACTGCAAACAAGGTCAGTTGTGACTCTTTCTATTGTGAGTTTCTGGGCCATGAATTTGCAGGCGAGCCCAGCAGGAGAAACGCTTCTGCAGATATTCAGCATACTGTGGAAGTAAACCCAGATGCTAGAAAACTTTTTGTACCAGATGAGCATTTCTCACTGGACAACATTTTGGACTGGACTTTTATGTATCTATTTATTTATGGTTTCACACAACTCTGCTGTGAAGAATGTAAGAGGATACTGTAGGAATGCTTTCACAAGACTTTCAGGAACAATTTTGCTTATCTTTCCACTCTACTGCTGCAACATGTTGGTACTTACCTCACACAGCAGGGACCAACAAACCTGCTAGTTACATTAGGGTTCAGATTACAAAGGCCATCTTTCCTTAAAGGGGGGCTGGTGGATTTTTGCAGGTGGGGAAAGTCAAGTTATTTTTGCAGAAGTACCATTCTGCCATCTAGTGACTTCTATTTTCTGTGTGTTGCAGAACAATTTCTGTTGTATAATTTTTAATGATAATGATGATTAATTATTGAAATTTGACCATATGGCCTTAGTATAAAATTAGATTTATTTTGTGGATTACTTTATTATGTTTATTGAATTTGCAAAAAGTTAATTAAGGGTAACTACATACATAAACATATTTGTATTCTGTCCTACAATGTAGATGGGTGGCTGTGGTGCAGAGGCAGAGCGGGTTGTCGGTTTGATCCCCGGCTCCTCCTGCGACATGTTGAAGTATCCTTGAGCAAGATACTGGTTACTTATATGGATGACAATCTTAGCATTATTCAAATTTTATATGTTAGACATTTGTTACAACAATAGCCAGAAAAAGAGAACTGAGTTGTGTAACACTACTGTACCAGTTAGCTTAATCAATCAAGAGTTGCAAGACCTAATAGTCACAATGGCTCAGCCATCGAAAATCGAATCGTGCCCTTAAAATTGAAAGTCGAAATGAATTGTGGATTTGGAGAATTGTGACATCCTTCCTTATACCATATAATTCAAGCTGCATTGTCTTTTTTGGCCACTTGACAGATAATTTTGGCATTTTGAAGTCGTTATGGCTAACACTAACGCATTTGCCTGTTTACACATTAAATATACTCTGTCTATTCTGCTGGAAATAAGGTTAGAGAGCTTAGTGACCCATACAACATTAATTCATTTGACAATGAATGAGACCTAAACAATCAACAGTCTTTCTTGTCTCTGATTGGTTGTTTTCATCCATTGTGTGATGGATTCTTGCAAATACCATTAGGAGCATTAGAACAAGCCAGAGCCTGCTTTTTTCACAGATTATCATTTCATGTATTACTTTCGGGATATAGTGAAAATTGCAGCAAATATGTAATAATTATTTTTATAAAAGTTACCTGCTGCAGCTTTAAGGTTTGTGCATGTTGGCTCACTGGAAGGGAACTGTGATTACTGTTGGTATCATTAACACCTGCGATTACCTTGCTATTTCATGTCAGAATAGCTGCTGTGAAAAAGGTATATTCTCATGTTAACAGGACAGAAATTCAAACAACTGGAGTTCCTCTTGTTCCTGGTTTTACAGCACACCCTTTACACCGCATTAAAAAAGGAAGTTAATCCTGACACCCACCCCCATCCATGCTTCCTTTCCTGTTTAGAAACTATATTCATGATGACATTTCATTTATTCATTCTTATGGTCTTGTTTTTAGTGGTAGTAATTAGTCATTGGAATTTGTTTTATGATTACAATTGTTGTGAGTAATATATTTTTCTCTATTTTGCATATATACCATTTTATTTGAATAAATTAGATAAAATCATCACAAAAACAAGAATGTTCTCAGGAACAAGAGAGTTATGTGACAACATAACATTAGGCAGGCTACTCACACCTTTAAAGGTCTCAAACCTTTAAAGGAATAGTTTGTAGTGTCTTCTAGTGGCGAATTTGCAGATTGCAACAAACTGAATACAGCTCAGCCTTTCAAGTGTGCAGGAGAAACTACAGTGGATGCGAAACCCGCCAGTGTTTGATTTGTCCGTTCTGGGCTACTATAGGAACATGGCGGACTCTGCCAAAAGAGGACCCACTCCCTCTGTAAAATTCACAGAGTAGTGATATGGCTGCCAATAGAATGAAAGCTGGAATGAAAATAGACCTTTTCTATGTGGATTGTGCACCAATATGAATATATGTAAAGTTACTCAGAAGGCTGCTTTCTTAAACAACTAACTTTATTAAAAGATATTTCAGTTAAATATTGTTTAACATGCTAAATAATTTAACATATACATTGTCAACCAGTTCTAGTTAACACAATACTCTTTGCTGCTTGCCACAGTATTGTAAATTGCAGCGCACTCTGATGAATACATTTTGCAATGACACCAATTTATTACCACAAGCATTTTTTCGTATAGGCTGATACCGATATTAACCGATTTGATACCAATATATCTTGTTTGGCTCTAATAAAAAAAAGCTCATTCTAAGCCAACGAAAACACAAAATTCTTATTTCAGGTGATTGTATGAAAACATACCTTTACAGAAAATACATTATTTTCTTAGGCCCTACTTGAATCCCCACTTTGAAAAACGCTACACATGCCTTGCAGATGCAGGAGCGGTGTTTCCTCTATGTTGATTTTCTGCCTCCACGGTATCAGAAATGAGGCAGACGCACAATGTAGTCACGGTTGCTACACGAGGCACCTTCCTTGTTGGGGACTTGGCCACAGCAAACATTCAGTGTGGATTCTCACCTCAGTGGATGTTCTGTATGTCTGGGGTGGTGAAATGCCAAAAGAAAAGGACACCAGCCAAACTGTACATCCTTTATCCAGTTGGCAAAGGTTAGAGCACATACTTTTAAATTGCAGACATAAGGCACAGTGTTGAGTAAAAGTGAAACAGCAAGGAAAGAGCTCCGTTAACAAAGTTGGTGGCATCTTAAAAAGTAATATGCTGCAAGTGTTATCATATTTTCAGTCTTTGTATTCAGACATTCATACGTTAGCATATATATCTCACTGGTCAGAAAAGCAAAGGTAACATATAAGTTTGAGTTCTTTTTCATCATATTTGTAAGTGTATTTGTAAGTCCAGGTGAAATAAAGTAATATCATGACATTCACTCATCAATCAATCTTTTAGCGATACAGAAGAGCTAAAGGAAGTTAACTGTTGCCAACAGTAATGTAAGATGCCGTTAGCAAGTTAGCTTGTACAGCCAACATTAGCCAACTCAACCCCGGCGTGGCAGGATAGATAAAAACACCTTTTCCCTGTTGTCAAACTGTCAGTACTCTGATTTACGGTTCACCTGGAATGAATTAATAGTAGGTATTGTATTTTATCTATTAATTCATATTCTGAAGAATGCCAGAATCCAAGGGAGAATGGGTCAGAGGCCACATCAAAACGAGGATGTGCATTTTTTTCCAGGACGCAATCAATCTATCAACACACTGATGAAAATGTCTGGTTAACCTCAGCATCTGGCTTTAATGTGGTGAGCCTATTCCATTGCATGCAATCTATTCACAGATTGAGTAAGGTTCTTGCGTGTGCAGTGAATTGTTTGTGCCAATTGTACGTGATAACAACCACACAGGTCCAGGCGCAGACACCCATGACTAACAAGGGATTTGTTTTAATTTTTTTTATTCATTTAAAAAGGTCCAGTGTGTAACAAATGAAGGATATAATATCCATAGGTATGTTTTCATTCGTGTGTAATCCCCTGAATATAGGAAGCATTGTGTTTTTGTTACCTTAGAATGAGCTGTTTTTATTTACAGATGCCACAGGTCGCCTTGTGTGGAGTTCGTCAAGTTGAACTGCCATGTTATTACAGTGGCCCAGAAGGGACAAATCAAACACTGGCTCTAGATATGGGCTTTCACTAGGTTCACGTCCACCTTAGTTTTTCCTGCACAGACTGTTCTCATTCCCAGGTCATCAAATACAGACGACAGTGGTGTTCAGTTAGTTGCAATCTACCACTAGAAGACACTTAATTATATACACTGGACCTTTAAACAACATTATAATTTTTACTGTTTGTTTGCATCTCCTTTAAGGCTGTATTAAGTAACTTTATGCAATACGGTACCGTACATTTGAAGTCTGTCTTTTTTATTTAGCCGTTATACAAAAAGGCATATTTAGTCCATACCAAATTGAGCGAGTACAGTCTTTCACCACTCTTTGTATTGCTTAATGATTTCTCTATAAAATATTGTTTAAGTGCCTGCAGAAAATACTTTTATGTGCTAAAAATGTCTACTGCATGCTCATAAATAAGACACAAACATAGAGTTATGGATGTCAGTGCATGTTTTTGAGCATGTGGAAAGATGAAAGGATTGGTGCCATGATACAGATACAGTATAAACGTGCTCAGTGAGAGTTGGTGGTTAAGTCTCCACCACTCATCCAGGGTCTACTTGGTATGGTCCTGTATCCAGTGACATAGCCTGAGGCAGTAAGTCTGTGGACTGACAGTGGAGAAGGAGCGCCCTGGATGCCTCAGCCTCTTCCACAAATGCTCCAGCCGCTTCTTAAAACCGTAAACTGTAAAAATGTCAATGATGCCAATGAAGTAGCGCTGCTCTGGTCCGTCGATGATGTGTAGAGGATTCTTTAAATTGGGCAGCAAACGTCGGTTTTGGGCCTTGAAATCCTGAAGCTCGGCTGCGTCATGGCCTGGCCCTGCATGCTCTGGGCATGTTTGAAGAGCACCACCACTTGATGCATCTCCTGCTTTTGATTGCTGCAAACAACCATCATCTTTGTCAGATAAAAGTAAGTTGGAATCATCTTCTGGGACTGCCCCAGGGACAGCAGCTACGCCTGCATGGATAGGGCTGGAACCTGGATTTACAGATCTAAAATGATAAAGCCACAGGGAACAGAATAAGGTTGAGTCAGAGCAATTACATAGTCATGTCATGTTTGTTAAAAAGAATGTTCCAATCTATCTAGATGGGTAAATAAAGACGCTTAGTAACACAACAGTCTGGTTATGTGTTTCTGTATAATTTCATTTTATGGTGAAATGACATAACTTCCAGTGAGTAAGGCAAACATTCAGAATAATCTGAGAAAGCCCCTAGTTAAAAATTGTAATACCCACTGCAGCTTTAATTGCTGTAAAGTGTGTACTGCAGTTAAAAATCTGGAAACGAGTTTGATCACTGCAGTTGCCCTAGCTCGTCAATGAAGTCCATGTTTTTCACCAAACTGTACAACTTATCAAAAAGACCAAGTTCAATGTAACTTCAGTACTGTCTTAGTGTTGGGGTGGCTGTGGCTCAGAGGCAGAGCGGGTCGTTCCTAAATCGGAAGGTTGTGGGTTCGATTCCCAGCCCCTGGTTCCACATATCGAAGTATCCTTGAGCAAGATACTGAACCCCAAATTGCTCCCGATGCCGTGCATTGGTTTGTGAATGTGTATGAATGTTAGTTTCTGTTCGATGGACTTTGCCATCACTGAGTGAATGTGTGTGAAAGGGTGAATGTGACACGTAGTGTAAAAGTGCTTTGAGTGGTCGGAAGACTAGAAAGGCGCTGTACAGGTCCATTTATTGCATGATCACAAAAAATATTTATCTTAAATTTAAGGATAGATTCATAACACTAGAAATGAAGCATTTAAGTGTTTCTCTTAATAAAATCAGACAATGATGATGTATTGTACTCTCTTGAAATATGTTTTGCACTAATCAGGGAGTACTTGGTTTGGCTTATTGATTGACAGCCTGGTGGTAGCAACTGTTCAGGGAATCAACACATGGCTCATTTGAATATTAAAATTAGCCATTTGTTGATAGGTCAGGACAGGAAAATGTAACCAATGAAATTATTTATTTTGACTCACATTTTTAGCCAATAAGTATTAAACTAACAAGGTAATGTGTCAAAAGGCGGACCTTTTTAGTTATTTTCTCAAAAGGAGGACAAATGAGTATCCGGCTTAAGACTGTGGCTGCAGCTGGACAGGGCATTTAAAAGCCGGACTGTCCGGCCTAAAGCCAGACGAATGGCCACCCTAAGCTAAGTTCAGTCGTGTGTGTATGTGTGTGGGGGGGGGCAACATAACATTAGGCAGTCTGCATACTGTGTTTTAGAGATGGGATCTGAGACACCTTTGAAGGTCCAGCAAGTGCAGACCGTACTCCTTATAAAATTACCCACCACAAATGACCCAACAGTTCCCACCATGAGCAAGCACTTAGCAACGGCAGAAACCTCAGACAGACCCCAGCTCTAGGTGGGTTGTCGTCTGCCTCGACCAGTTGGCATACATCTTTATTTTTCTTACTGTCTGTGAAGTGACAAAAACTAATAATGTGTTAGTCTATACTGTCTGTCTTCACTACCCAGTCTACAGCTCTCTCACCCCAATTAGTTCTTACTTCAGACTATTAACATGCCACAAGTAAAACATTTTTAAGCCTAGGTATTTTCCTGAAACAGCTAGCCACTGTAGTTTCTTGCAAATGTTTACTCAAACAGGAGTAAAAAGTACATTTGTTGGGGACTTTTTTTTTTTACCCTTTTTGTTGTGCTCTAGTGCAGTGATTCTCATCGACAGGTCTATGACCAGGTATCTAGCACTGCAACTATTGTATAAGCAAGGTATGACATTTCATAGGACCCCGCAGCTGTAATAGGTCAGTTTAGGACTCAAATGCTCATCCGAGAAGTAGTTGTCAACCTCCATCTCGGTACTCGGGGATGCTTCATCCATGTCAAAGGATCATCATCAGGCGGTTTGGACCGTTAGGGTGGTTTCCGGACAGGAGCATGCGTACAGGTGCTGTCGTTTGAGTGACCGTCCTGAGAAGGTGTCCATCGAGGGCGTTGGCGGGAACAGGGCTCGGTAGAGGAACCCACACGATACAGAGTTGTCGAGCAAATTTGCCATCAATCAGGCAGACATCTGAACCAGAGTCTATGAACGTGGCGAGGGTGTGGGAACCCTTGGGCAGCAGCAGCCGGGTGTGGCACAAGGGACATAGATTGGAGGAGAGGTTGTAGGCACGACTCACCAGTATTCCCCCTTCTACTGGTGTGTGCACACAATGGTATATGTGGCAATATGATCAGAGTCTCTGAACCATGGAAACTCACAGGAGAAGAGATGGTCGAACTCATACTGTGTAGTATACTCATACTGTGGGGAAACACCAAACAGCCCAGGAGAGAGGCAGACGGAAACCAGGAATGGAGAAACAGGTTTGTGGTTGGGGACAGAAGGTTGAGGTGATATCCGGGGAAGAGACAAGGCGGGATGGTCAAAGGCAAGCAGGGTCAAAACTGGGAGATCCGTCCGAACAACGCTGGAAGGTCTTGGTCTGGCAACGAGTGAATGGTGAGGAGCAATATATGAACTGGCTTGATTGGTGATCAGAATCAGTTTGTCTGACAGGTGAGCAGAGTGGCTGATGAGGAGGTGTGGCTGACTGGAGCAGGGGCAGTTTAGTGGAAAAGTACTGAGATGGCTGAGTTGAACAGATGAGGAGGAAGGCAGACTGTGACAGCAGCAGTCCAGGGCCCGTAATGGACTACTCGTATCTGCGCTGCTGCTATGATTTAGCCTTTTGCTAACATTAGCTAACTTGAGATGTGACTATATATATGTCATTTTTATTTTCTAACCATCTTCAAAATTGTCTTTTCAAAATAGACAAGTCTAGAGCATAGCATATCTAAGTACAGGAAAGGAAGAAGTTGACAGAGGTTCCAAAGGGTGAATTATTTAAGTATCTGTAAATAAACTCTCTACAGATCGACTTATTGAATACTTCTTCTTATCACTACAGGGGATGTTTCTGAGACCGACACAAGATTATAACTCTCAAACTGCACTGTGAATAAAATATCGGGGAACTAAACATAGTAGGGGTGTAACAATTTACCAAATCCACGGTTTGGTTCAGACCTCGATTTTTGAGCCACGGTTCGGTTCATACCCCATTTAGCAGAGAAACAGAGAGAGTAGATGTTATCTGATATTACATTAAGCGGATACGGCAGAAATCTTACATTACGGAGCGTCAGTGAACGCACCACTGCAGATGTCACTCACTAACGTTAGTTTCGGTTTGGACCCACATGCGGCGCACTTGAAAACTGAATCACGGGTGAGTTTATGAAACGTACTGCTGATGGAGAAAGTCAGCAGAGACACACACAGGGAGAGAGAGACAGAAAGAGGCGGAGCAAGCAGGCGTGTTTGCCTTGAGTGACCAGAGGTCCAGGCTAGGTGTGTGTGCTGTGTGTGAGTGTGGGGAGAAGAGAAAGGGAGCAGATTAAAGTAGTAAATAAACACTAAAATAAGGTGGAAAATGACCTAGAATAACCTACTGTCAATACAAATACAATATAGGCGTACACCGCTACTACCCCACGGTCCGCCACCACCGCTGCATTTACACTGTCTTAACGAGAGCTCAACAGTCCAGGGAGCGAGTGTGTCGCGGTTCTGTCTCTTGGATCCGCGACACGAGACCGTGGACTTTTGTGTCACGATTTCGGTCTCGGTTTCAGAACCGTTACAGCCCTAAAACGCAAGATCACAGGCCACAAAATGTTGAGAAATCCAGTAATGAAATCTCAGGGAAAGAACTTAAAGACACTGACTTTTTGGTTCTCATGATGAGAGTTGCGAAGGAGAGACTCTGGTGGCGTTCGTCGTGGTGTAAGGGCTGATGGGCCAGGAGGAGACTGTAGTCCAAGACGTTGAGCCTCCGCAAGAAGTGTGTGTCGATCTCCACCTGACGCAGGAGCCAGGGACGCTGCTGGTCTGCACACATACACAGACCATATAACATTAACAGAAATACACAGCAAATGTACAGTATGTTTAATACATGAATATAACCACCGGCATTTGCAGTACACACAAGACAAGATTTATTTGAATTAGATGTTTGCACAGGGTTCATTTCAATCATACTGATTGGCCTTAAGGCGGTGCAATAATGCTGCTCTTACCACTTTTACATAGCTTCCTTTGAGCAAACATAAACCTCACATTCTTACCTAGAGTGATGTACTGTCCTTCAAAGTTGAGGTCTTTGAGAACCACAATAATCTGGCTCCCCTCTGGCGCAGGCTCCGTCCAGCGACTCACCTCGCAGCCCTTAATGTCGTACCTAGCATTACAAAACACACATCAAACCGCACAAAAATGTTTCTGTGTTCTTAACCGTAATAATACTACTCACGCTTTGTATTTATTGGGGACAAACCAACCAAGCTTACCTGGCGTTGATTCGATCATCTGGATAAAACACACTTTGCATAACAATGAAGTATTTCTGTAAGTGAAGACATGGAAATGTGCTTTATAATGCTTTGTAACACGCTTTGATCATGAGGCCATAGAACAGTGATAAAATTAGATTAGTACCTTTCGTCTGTGTGGGATTTTGATCCTGTGAACACCTTGAAAAACAAAAAGAAATCATTCAGTCAGTGCCCCATATTATCTGATGACATTTAGAGTTGCTCTCATAAAAGTACTGGAAATTCCTCAGATAATGCCTAAAATGCCTAATCAGGCATCAAGACATAATTTCTTGGAATATCTTGAAATGATTCCTATCCCTTAAGTCTGTCAACAAAAATTTGAAATAGAGTCATAAATAAAAAGATACAAAAACTGGACCTCAAATTTCAAACAGAACTTTTCTGGATATAAAAAATGTAAATGTTTTCATTTTTGACATATGCTCTTCTCTACCCGCAGCAATCACCTGCCTACCACATGTCATCACCACGTTTGGCACGTATCGTTACATAACGTAATGTAACTACATCCAGCAGCAGAGTACACAGAATAACATTGGCATTCATTTTAGTCATGTTTGTGGCCATTAGATTAATCAAAGTCAAATGATTTAATTATGTTAATAATGTTTTTTGACTCCACCAACTTCTGACAAAATACCTGCCGCTTTAGCTGCTTAATGCTGCTTAATGTTCACCAACTAGTTGCTAAGTTTGTTATCCGGCCCATCTCTACTCAGTGGAGCTTTATTTATATTGCATCTTTCATCCAAACAAATAAACAAACAAAAAAACTAGACTAGTAATTTTATAATGTTCAATATCAATAAATAAAAATCAGTATAATTAAAATAAATACTAAAACAATTACTAGGGATATAAATAATGTAAAAACTAATGTTTAAAACCTTAAAACTAAAGCTATAACATTACTCCAAATTAAACAAAAACATAGGTCTTTATTTCCTTTTAACACAGTAAGAATTTTTCATTGTAATAGAGGTTCCACAGTTTATGGCAATTCATACGTTGCAAGTGACGTCACAACTACTAGCTGGCGGGCAAGAACATCGTTCAACGAAACCCAGTAAACTAATCATGGATCTTGCCAGGACTTGCCAGGATAGATATGTATTAATCAGTGTATAAATAAATGGTCTAGTCTAATGGGCTAGTACGCTTACTCTCCTTTGTTTAGATATCTTGTCATTGCACGTGTGTGTGTGTGTGTGTGTGTGTGTACCTAGAAACTTGACCAGCAGTGAATGGGGATATTTCCTCAGATGATCAATGTAGATCTTCAGGTTGGCCAGAAGAAATTTGATTTCCCTTTTGTTCTGGGTCTTCAAAAAGAAGCGCTTATCATTTCTAGAAGTTCAAAAGCATTGAGTAAGTAGATCTCTAACCCATCAATGATACAACATACCGAACTCTTACACTTTTAAAATGACGATATTCTACATTTTGTCTAAGATTTGACAGATACTGACATTAAATATTGGACATATAGTGATTAAATGTGTCATTCAGCTTTAGAGCTGCAACAACTTGCTTTCTTAAACTGTAAGATAATAGAGGCAGTTGCACACATAAGCACGCCTCTGTCTGTTTTTTATACTCATGGAGAATACATACATGTAATATAATACAATATGTTGTTATAGTAGATGAGGAAAAAAGAAGAGAAATATGAGGAATTTATATAAAAATCTACAGATTACAGATTTACAGATACATGCAGGGCTAAAGGTTAGGCAAATAGGATTTCATTCCAAAATAAAGGTTTGCTTCTTATGAAAACAGTGGAACCACGGTGTGTGAGTGACTCACGTTAGGAAGAAGTCAGCCTTGCTCTTGGAATTGCTGATGAACTGGAGGTAGCAGTTTTCAGAGCATAGCGACTGCTGATACTCCTGCTCCGTCATTCCTAAAGAGCCACGCAGGCTGGCAAACACTGGGCCTGCAAATGTCTCCATTGTGAAATCCTACACACACACGCGTAACTAAGTATACAGTTTGTGGCATTCAACACAATAATTAATTTGAGTCCTGTTAATTATTGAGACACCTACCTTATGAATCTGAGTGACCTCTAATCTGAAATCATCATCTGAGAGTTCGTTCTAGAGTGGGGCAAAGAGGACAGATGTCAGGGAGAATAAGAAAGGCAACTTGTATAGTAACTAAGCTTAACACACTGCTTTGCCAATGTTAAAACTAGGATTAGCACCCACGAGGGCAGTTAATCTGTTTTCTCTACCTTTGATATGTTTAAAGCCACTGTATGTTTTACAAGGTAAAAGGTATCTGTGTGTGTGTGTATGCGTGTGTGTTTTTGAGACTGAACAACAACACAACAGACAGGACAGTCATGCATCAGCCCGCTGAGTCAGCAGAGTGTGTGTGACTGGGATTAGGGTGAAACAGCAGCACTGTGTGTTAATCTGCCCTGTGACTGTTCATTCAGCAGCAGCAGGATGGACACACTGCATACCTGATTTAAGGCCTGGGTCAGGAGGTGTTCTCCCTTTCAGCTGTGGTATTTGTTGATTTTCATAGGGGGGAGGACAACAACCGCTGCAACTAGCAATTGGTGCTCTTTTTAGATGAGGCTCTTTTAAAAATGTGTTTTTGATATTTTTAACCTATAGAAATTGCAGGTATAGGTTTTATGGCTCCGAGAAATAAAGTGGCCACATAATGTAAATCTGTAGCACAAGAAACCGTGGTGTCTTTGATTCTGAAATAAACTTTAGGGCCCATGTAAAGTACATCATCATGTCTGCTTTCCATAATCTAAAAAAAAAAGTGCATACATTTTTCTGTCCCATCGACACAGAGAGACTAATGCATGCATTTGGGGCGGCTGTGGCTCAGGAGGTAGAGCACGTCGTCCACTGATCGAAAGGTTGGCGGTCCAATCCCCAGCTCATACAATACAGATATACAAGATACAAAATACATTAATAGATTTTCTTATTAATTTTAAATTCCTTTTACTTGTCTTTAAAGGTCCAGTGTTTGACATTGAGGAGGATCTATCAGCAGGAATGGAATATAATATTAATAGGTATGTTTTCATTAGTGTACAATAAGAATTGTTTTCATTAAATGAGCCACTTCTATTTATAAAGAGCCGGGCTCTCTTCTGGCGGAGTATGCCATGTTGAACTAGTTTTTTTTTATAGTATCCCAGAACAGACAAACTAAACAGTGCCTCTACACTTTTGTGTCTTCCGCAAGTGCAGCTTATCTTAGATATCTGGAAGGCTGATTGGAATTCAGTTGATTGCAATCTGAAAATGCGTGCTACATGCCACTAAATGCTACACACTGGTCCTCCAAAGCTCTCCATGGTCATGCACCAGTGTATTTATCTGACCTGCTTGCAATATATACCAATCAACCATAACTTCTGACCACTGACAGGTGAAGGGAATAACACTGATTATCTGGTTATCATGACTCCTGTTAGTGGGTGGGAAATATTAGGCAGCAAGTGAACATTTTGTCCTCAAAGTTAATGTGTTAGAAGCAGGAAAAATGGGAAGTGTGAGGATTTGAGCGACTCTGACAAGGGCAAAATTGTGATGGCTAGACGACTGGGTCATCTCCTGTTTCTGACCTCCACCACCTACCACAAAGTTCTCAGTCTTGTCTTTGTTTAATTGAAGAAGGTTTGGGGTCATCCAGCATGTCATTGATACAGTTGACAAGATCATTTATAGGGCTGAGGTCATCATTTGAAAGTAAAATATGCAATTGTTTATCATCAGCATATGATTGGATACAAGTGACAGCATATAAAGATTGAACAGTAATGGGACTAGAACTGAGCCTTGTGGGACACCACAACAAAATGCAACTTGTAAAGCTGCTTAGAGACACAGAGAATGTCCTGTCTGGTATAAAGCGGGAGAGCCAGTTAATGACACAGCCAGATAGGTTGTGGTCGACAGTGTCAAAGGCTGCAGTCCAGCAACACAAGAATGGAAGGCCTGCCTGCAGCACTGTTGATCTTTAGATCGTTGATTACTTTTATGAGAGCTGTTTCAGTGCTGTGGTTAGTCCTGAAGCCAGATTGGCTCATACGGAATGTATGTAGCTGTTTCTAGACCTCAAAGGTCCTTTGAGTCAAAAGTGTTTCCAATGAATGGTCTGACCAACTGTGAAAAATTGTCACAATCTCCCCCTCTGTTCCTGAATTATGGTGTTGAATATTGGCACAAAAAGTTTTTTCAGAACACTGTGATTTCACAGTGACCTTTAAAATATGTCATCACAATTCTTGAGTCCTTAACCCCAGCCCCAAACCTTTGAGTCAAAAGTTTCACCAATTCATCACCGACCAATTGTAAAATATGGTCATCAGTTTTTTTGAGGGGGGAGGCAGTAACTTTTGACCACCAAATTCAAATCAGTTAATCCTTGAGTCCAGTGCATATACAAATTTGAATGTATTCTCTTGAGGCATAAAATGTATTTTGTTTCAACACAGAGATATTACTTGTTTATAGGTAAATAAAAATACAACGGAAGTGTGTGAAGCAATACACATCTTTTCATCTGTCCAGAAATCTATAAACTGGTTTGAAAAGTTGTAAATTTAAGTTTGCTTTGTAATAGCTCTGCATTTATTTGCAAATCTGAAAGATTTGTTAGAGCAGTGGTTCTCAACTGGTCTCACCAAGGATCCACATTATTCCATAGTCATTCAGTTGGAACCCACTTTCATAGCATATATTTTAAGCCCTGCAAAAAGGAAGGGTGCTGTTTGATCTGAATGCCTTGCATGCTTCTACACACAGTCATATGGCTAGTATGCAACCTACACATACAATGTCATTGTTCAACATAAAACACTTTGTTCCCTTTAATCAGAGCACATTACTGATAATTATAAGTGTGAACTTTACAATGAACCCAAATGTTGAACACAACAACTGCAGGAAATTCATGTAAAATGAGAGATTTGGATGAATTTTGATTTTATTATTTCCTGTGAATATTGATCAGAGATGAGTTTTCCTGATATTTTTAGTATTTTTTATACAGTTCTCCCTTTGGTTGCTTTAACTTTTTTAATGCAGGACAAGGCTGTGTTCAGGTCTTCAAAGTTTAGATCTTAAAAAATTATCTAAACTAAAGTCTAGTGGACAAACCATGTAATAACAATTAATTTAATCCATCTATCATTTCTGCTTTGCAGTATGTTGAGATAAATTAATTAAATATTCATCCTTTACAATATTTTTATGTCAGTATAGATCCAGATTTGGGAAGAAGGCACATTATTGCCCCTGTTTTCAGGCAAAGATAAAAAACTTGAGCTGTTTAAACTGCTGCTTCTCAACCCTGTCAACACTGTGGGCTGCAGTGAGAGTTCAGCCACTCTGCAAATATCTATCACAGCTGAGCCAAACAGTGCCGACATTTATTGCAGCAGTGCTCTTTCCACAAAAGCAAACTCAGCAACACAGCCTGCACTTGTTTTGTCAAGAGTACTTCGAGTTACAACACAGATCACTTTTTTTTTTTAATGGATATCAGTTGATAGGAAAACCTGTTTGTCGAGTGAAGATGTCTACAAGAGTCTTCTGTGATGTAAAGGCTTAATTCAACACAATATTACACAAAGGTCACAGCCTCTGCACAGAAGCATTTCCAGAGGCGGGACCTGGGTTGGCCAACAGATTTTGTTTTAAAATGAGAAAACCAAAATCCGTGTATCTTTTGGTCATTGGATTTTCCTTTCAGAAACGGGTATTAAAAAACAGAAAACGAGTGGTTATTTGATTTTCGTTTTAAAATACAAAAATTAAAATTGAAATACAAGGCGTTTTTCTTTGTCATGGTCAAAAAGGGATGAGCGAAATAGAAAAAAAAATAATGTTTTATTTCATATAACAAAAAATAAAATCACTAGAAAACAAACAGAAAAAAGGCCTGTTTTTTCATATTCTGAGACCGGATGTTGTCATTTACAGGACGGTGCTGTGTAGAAGAAACTGTAGGGTAGTAGACTGCGGTCAAGCCAGCAGTGACTCCAATCTCCGTGGTCAAATCAGCCACACTTAAATTTCAAGTATTCTAAGCATTATGGTAAATGTGGAGAAACAGCATATTTACTTCCGGTTTTCAAAATAAAGGTATTTAGAACAGTAAGCTATAATTCGAACCTACATTTAAAATAAAATATGTTACATTAAAGTGTTTCATGCGCCCATGATGAATAAAAAACACTTTATATCAAGTATCTTTACTGCACCAGTGTGGAGAAATGCCAAAATAAAAGTCTCATATTTATGCCTCCAGAGATTGCATATTTGACCATATTTGAGGTACTGTAAAAACATATTGCTCAGTGTTTCCTGGCTACTGATGGTATATTTGACTTTTACACATATGAGACAACAAGCATACTTAATATCAAGCATTTTTCCTGCACCAATGTACAGTAATTATTGAGCAAAGTGTTTTTACAGTAGCTCAAATATGGTCAAATATGTCACTTGGAGGTACAAATATGGACAACTTTTATTGTCTAATTTCTCCACATTGGTACAGTAAAAATGCTTGATATTAAGCATGCTTGTAGTCTTAGATGTGTAGAATTAAGATATACCATCCATAGCCAGGAATTATTGAGCAAAGTGTTTTTACAGTAGCTCAAATATATGAAAATATGCCACATGGAGGTACAAATATGGGACTTTTATTGTTGAATTTCTCCAAATTGGTAGAGTAAAAAGGCTTGATATTAAGCATGCTTGTAGTCTCATATGTGCAAAAGTCAAATATACCATCAGTAGCCAGGAAACACTGAGCAATATGTTTTTACAGTACAGTATGTTTTTACCACCTCTGTAGTGACGTCTTTTTCTATTATTGGTAAGCACTTTAATGGAGACTGTTTGCAATGGACACGGGATAAAGATGTCTTTGGGAAGAGTAAGTCACACTGAATCTAAGAATATGTGTATCATTTATGTGTACTCAGATTTGAGGGCTAATTTTGACACAAGGGTTTTAAAATATCCTCCATAAGTGTGATAATTCGTGTCACAGCCAATTGCTGACTGAGTGGCTAAATCAGTAGCCAAACTACAAAAACTAACTTCCTGTCGTTTTTAGAACACCAGCATGCACCTTTCACCTCACACGGTATCTTTGCCACATCTCTCTCCCTCTGTGCCCTGCTGCAAAGGTGCGCCTCATAATTTGAAAAACCTCTGCTATAGACTGTCTGTGTTATAAGCCTGGCAAACCAGGCAACTGCTCTGGGGTCCCAGACTCACAGGGGCCCCAGTCAAAACACGAGCATCTATTGTTTTCTATTCCAGCCCACACAGTCAGTTGCACCAGTTTGATCACGTTCACATTTAAATGACTCACTCTCCCAGGCTGGACTCCGAGTGTCTAATTTTAAAGTTGTACAGCACTTTGTAACTTTGTTTGTAAAGTGGTTTCCAAATAAAGTTATTCGTGGTGTACACATATTTGGAAATCAGGGACTAAAAGCAATGACTGATAGTTTTACTCATTTTGGCAACAGTTCTTGTGTACACAAAAGTAAAGTGTCATAACGACAGCTTTAGAAAGCTTCTCTCAATGAAAATGTATTAAATGGTATGCTACAAGCTATTAAAGCCTATTAATTCATGTATTCAAGCTGGTTATATATTACCTTGAATCTTGCATGGTGTTTTCAGGGGCGGATATAGAGAAATGTTCATGAGGTGTCTGGCATGGAGACTTTAAGGGGTGGCAGAAATATATGCTGATAAGCATTTTTGAGGGGTGGCAGTTGCCACCACTCTAGATGCGCCGCTGGGTTTTAAAATGCACAGATAAATACATTCCTCAAGTAAAAATGAAGCCCTGTAATGTTATTAACCTAAATAGTTCAATTAGAAGTGGTAAGAGTTTAATTGATGATTAAAATGTTGCCTCTGCTGACCCGTACTCACTGTGGGTGTTTTGTCAACGGTGCTTTGGATGGCTGCTGCCAATCCCTCCTTCATCATGCAGGTCAGGCTGTAGAACTCATGCTGCTGATCAATCTCAAACAAGCCCAGAAGCTTCCACTGCTGCCTCAGACCTCCCCACCTCCTCCTCTTCACAGTGCCAGTGCGCTGACGGCGGCCAGACATCTCCACACTACCTGCAGTCGCTGACATCTCCATCTTGGATACAGAAAAATACACAAATACACAACATATGACTGCCGGCACCTGACGCTGTGAACACAGACGAGGTTTTCAAAGCACCAGCAAAGAGAAATCAAAGAGTTAGTAGAGGACAGAGAGGCCAGTGACTAACACAAAAGACAGCTGACTGTCAGTTGAGTCCTTAACATGGTAACTATGGAGACCGACACAAAGGGATCATGGCTTCATAGGCTGTGCTGTGGTTAATGGCAACCACCACATCTCTTACTTAAAACATATTTTATATGTTTAACTAGGACTACATCTGTTACACTGAATTAAGAAAAACAGCAAAGGTACAATAGTGTCTCATTAATTAGTGTATCTGTAGGAGCACAGGACAGAAAATGAACATGAAGCCAAAGAAAAAAAGCCAGGAGACTAGTGGACAACAATGGCCTGAATACAAAATGTATTTTTAAATAACAATGTAACTGAATCTAAAAACAATAAACATACTTGCTCAAAGATGTCACACTTTGGAAGCTGCTGAATTTGTACAGTGGTACCCAAGGATTATTTTTAAAAGTTAACTTGTGGTATTCTACATTTTTCTTATTGTCAACAAATCCCATGTGCAGCCCCAAACCAATTATGAATGTATCCTACTAATAGGTAGTGAGTATAAAAGCCTATATTTAATTACTCTGTGCCATCAAGCTCTAGCCTGGGAACCAGACAAATCTACTGATCTCATGATGGTTAATTTGCTCTGTCGAATTTAACATCTAACAACAGTTCTGTTGTTGTCCAAAAACTATTAAAGTATATGTAAGAATTTGAAGTATGAATAACTTTTTTGCCAATTTGTGAATTGTTTTGTAACTTCAAAAATTTTAAATACTGTCTTCAGTGAATAATGGCAGCTAATTCTTCCAGACTCACGGGGATATTTTGGCTGGTAAATTGTCCGGCATGTCGTTTACAGGTTATTTTGTTGGCTAGCGTTGTGGGGCGGTGTGCGCCGGATAACGGTATTAAGCGAGGCTGGGTTGCAGCTTAGCTTTAACGTTTTCGCTAGCAAGATACTATCTGACTGGATATGTTATTTGGCTAGCTTGTCAAATCACCAGCTGATGTAATCCATAATACTAACTTTTTTTCTTAATCTGAGTGAACTGATCCTTTGAACTTCTGGTTGTCAAGTAAATGCAAGATTCGGTGGCTCATTTTTGAATACTAATAAAGCTTGGTGTTGAACTAAATCTGCCCTATGTGCATTGTTAACAGCAGTTTCTGCTACACACACAAAAAATCTGCATTTAAAGTCTTGATTTGATGATTTGAATAAATGAAGCCCGGTCCAAGTTAATATGCCTCATCCCATTTAATCATTATTTCAGGTAATAATTTCTAGTTTAACTTTCCAAAAACCAGATCTCATGTCTGATTTAAAACTCAACCTCCAGCCTGTACTCCATGTGCCACTCATTCAGCAGCCACTGCAATCACATCACAACATTAACCCCTTTTGTAAGTTCGCCAGCTATGCCAATGGGTAGTTCCATAGCAACAAGCATAATGCAAAGCTCCTTGCACCTTTTAAGCTCTTGTCTCCTTTACTAGCGACGCTCGCAGCTTCACTTGACCGTGAAACAAAAGCTTACTGTCTGATCACAACCTTGTGTGACCCTGTTTGATGGTCCGCTCGAGTGTTCAGGCTGCTGGGGTTTGAACACATCTGATCTTTAAGAGAGCAGTTCGTACAGGCAGAGGGTGTTTCATTACTGTTCTGAAAAGCATGATTTCAAGAGGAAATGCCATATGTTTGAGAAAATGTGATGAATACAGTACAAGTAGAACTAGAACACAAGTTAAGCTAGAAGGCTAAAAAAAATAGCCTACCGACACTGGCTGTCTGCTGTCACGTAGCCCTCACGCTTCCTCAAAGTCATACATATAAACGGTTATATCATGTTTAGGCATGCAGTTCTGCGTACATTTCTCAGGGCTGTATCCCGTGACAGATATCTTGTAACTGTTTTCATCATTCCAAGTAGTTTTCCATTTGATGAGTTTTGCATCCTTGCCAAGAACTGGGTCAAGGTAAGCAGTAGGGTGCACACAGGGAGGGTGCCTCAGTATGAAGCTAAGAGCTAATTCCAGCCAGTACTGTACTCGCATATTTCAAAGATCCCCTCCAGACATGTATTAAGACACACATACAAACAGTCTGCTTGGAACAATAGTATGTGTAGCTCAAGGCTGAGCCCCCACTGCAACACTCGAATACGACCTGTGGCCCCTTGCTGTGTACAGCCTGTGTACCTTTAATTATCATCAAATATCAAAGTTGACAGGACCAAAATATTAGCAAAGTGCCATGTCCATGTAAATGCAATATAAGCTTTAGATATAAACTCTGTTTTGGTCTCCACCATTTCCTGAGAAAAACACCTGTCTCTTTAGTTGTTAAATGCTCCGCTGTGTTCACTGGCTTGTCTCTAATTGTGTCTACTGTTTGCGGCTGAGCAGGGAGTGTACAGAGTTTATCAGAGCTTTTAGTTGAAAACAGCTGCCTGGAGGCAAGGGTGATGAGAGAGATGAGATGAAAGAAGCTGAAAAGCACTGTAGAGCTAAGGGGAACTGCAGAGTGGAGTGATAATTATCTGTTATCATTGTTGATAAAGAAATATTGATTACAGCCATTTTAAGTACCACTCTGGTGTGACTATAGGGCAAAACTGACACAAATGAACCCCAACTTTCTATTATTATATTGTATTTGAGTCCTGTGAGTCTTATGGTCACATCCAACACAATGCAACCTCGTCATGCCAGAATGTGTGCTGGTATTAACCTTATTATTACTGTACTTTTTGTCGTATTTTTGGAAAAATTCATAATAATATAATAATATAATCTGTGAAAAAAACAGGTTCCTCTGGCTCCTCCTAGTGCTCCTAATGACAGCTTTCAGCAAATATGATAAAGTTATTTTTATAAAAGTTACCTACTGCAGCTTTAAGTTGCATATTTGATCTGCTACTGATGTGTTATGACTCTTAAGTTGTTGTGATCTGGGTAATGTGCTGTTTATGGACAACTCAGGAAAATGTGCAGTGTTTTTTGGGTGTTTTGTGTGTTTGCCCCACTCTGGTCTGATCAGCACCTACTGTAACGTTACAGGCTTACACTCGCATATCGCGTATTGTGTAGCCTACTGTAAAAATATTTAATTTTCATGTATGACTGTGATTCTTGGTGTGCTCAGGATAAATTAATGTAAATTTGTGTGAAGAATGATAACACCAATACCATTGCCAGTTACAATTGCAAGAGTATTACACTGTGTTTGAAAGTACAACCACTATGACTAACAGTGCTGTCTGCCCAGCTGTGATGTCAAGGAAATTTATTGCCAAATGATCCATCTTGGTGGTGAGGCACGTATGCATGCATCACACAGTACTTTTCCACAGAGAACTAATGCCAGTGTAGTCAATTTATTGTCCTCCCATGTAAATCTCTGCCCTAATGTGACTACACTAAGTGTCTTCCTGATCATTTTGAACTGCATCCTAATTCCTTTAATCTGACAGTGCTGTACTCCCGAGGAGCTCCAGATAGCACCAGTGGCATGAAAGCTTCTTCCATGTTGAGAATAGCATTGTCACACTGTGTCAAAACGTATGTATTGTAATCCATATTCAGTAGTGTGGGAGAAATTAATGATCATAAAATGAAGTTTTATAACTACGTTCGGGAACTAAGACCACGTATTGCACTCACATACACATTGTCTGGTGCCATGATGATATGAGATGCTGTTTGACATAGGACATACTGTGTAAAGCTGAAGGAACGTAATGTTAGTTTAAGTTTTTGGTATTTGACTGTAAACATTCAAGTCAGGGTGACATGAGCTTTTTATTATGGACCAGAAGTTTTTCCACATCATGTAGCAAATAATTAAATAAACTAAAATAAAAAGATGTCCATGAAATGGCTATTGATCTATTGTATAAAATGGCATTCACCTACAATTTAAAACAGCAATCAAGGTATCAATGTATAAACCGTCTGTGTCCACAGATCAGTGTCAATGAAACAGCCAGTCAACAATGCATTCACTCTCCCAGTCTCTCTTTATGGACAATATTTCATGCCTCACCAACATCAAAGATGAAACAGTGCACTACAGGAACTTTCCCTAATGGAGTATGTGGTAGTTCAATCAGGCACGGAAGTCATTTTATGGTCAAATGTTCAATACACTCTCCAGTGATGCATGTCCCTGACCTCTCTCTCAACAGGCAGTCCGTATCAACATTTGGCATGCTGAGCACTGCACCCATGCTGTTACATTGCTGCCTGCATTCAGTGTAACTCCCTCCACCTCATTCCACCTCTATTAGTATTTACTAAGACGTAAACTTTAAATGTTTAACATGCATTCATGTTCATTAAATGTTGTGTATCTTAGTCTCTGCCAGGGGGTTTGTGAGCTCAAAGACAGTGTGTGTGAATCTGATCTCAGTTTGTAAGCACAAACTGATCTCAGTTTGTTTTCCTTGAAAAAATTAATGAGCTTTATTTTCTTTAATATTGTGTTAGACTCAGTGAGTAGATGGGGTTTCCTAGTCTGGCCTGCAAGGGCTTTGTCCTTGCAACTATGTAGCAACATGGAAAAAGTAGATACATCATCACCATCTTCCTTCCTGACAGGAAGCCTTATGAATTGGGCGACAGGTTGAACATATTCCTTGCTAACTGAATGTATCCATCATCCCGGGGAAAGATCATTGATCATCTCTTCCTACAGGCCAGAGTGCTTGAGGATGCTGAGGATCAATTTTAACGACCACTTGACCAACTGCCAAGTTCTTATCCTAATTCCGTTTCTTTTGCGCTTGCAGGTCAGATCTAAAGTGATTCCTGACTAAGTTGATCTAAAAATAGTCTGCAAGGACTTGACTCTGCCTCCATCTTCAGCTTCCAAGTGCATCACTTGCAGTATATGTGTCCTGCAGGAG